TCCCTCTAACTGATTCTCCTGACATCTTGAAAAGAGGAATGGCATTGGAATTTCATTAGTGACCCAGAAAAAGTCAATTTGTAGGTCCTGGAGCTCTGTTAAGTGTTATCTATTTTTCCTAGTGGGATGCTGATGAACAAGCATTTAACACAACTGTGAAGCAGCTGCTGTCACGCCTGCCAAAGCAAAGATACCTCAAATTAGTCTGTGATGAAATTTATAACATCAAAGTAGAAAAAAAGTAAGTTATCATTTAGGCAAAGCAGGTTTTACATGATTGAAATTCTGGGAGGGGTTTCAAAGTGATATTTTTGTCTTGTTGAGGTTTGATGGCTATAAGTTGTTAGAACTGCAGTACCTCTTGCTTGGACTGTGAATCACAGTCATGTCATAATGTGGTTAATAACAAAACACAACAGTCTTAGGAGTACCTATCACGATTTTAATTTTGTTCGCCCAGGTAACTTCTATATTTAAATGAAAGGAAAAAACTATGACTACTTTGCTTACATCAAAATGCCAATCATTCATGTTGTCATCTATTCAAAAGGCAACAAGGAAGCCTGTGAGGGGAGTGGCGGTCTCCTTACGTAAGACCTTATACTGCAGACCCTTGCCAGTCACAACATCTGTGAAACCTAGTGATTTTTAGTGACTAATCTTCCATCTTGTTTTTGATTAAACAAAGCTAAAGTGTTCTAAAAATGTATTAACTGTGTTCTTCACTTATTAAACTGGATCTGTCCTTATAATGGATCTTTTCCTTTCTTTTGCAGAGTATCTGTGCTATTCCTGTACAGCTACAGAGATGACTACTACAGAATCTTATTTTAACCCTAGAGAACTGTCATTGTTCAGACAGGAGCTTGTACTAGGATAAAGGAATGTTGTACATTCCTTGTAATTTTAAATTAACTTTAAATTCTAAGAAGCTGTCCTACAAAGTTGAGCTTTGTTAGTTTTTCATGTATATTACAAATTTATCTTTTGGATTTAATAAACGCTTTCATATATCTGGTGCTTTCTAATTGCGTATCTATTAATACTAAAGATTTTATGAAGCTGGAACACAAGAAAACAGTTCTTGGCGGCACCTGTGGCTCAAGGAGTAGGGCGCCAGCCCCATATACCAGAGGTGGTGGGTTCAAACCCAGCCCCGGCCAAAAACTGCAAAAAAAAAAAAAAAGAAAGAAAGAAAGAAAACAGTTCTTATTCTTCCCTTGGCCATCATAACTAAACACGTAAAACTATCCCAACTGAAGGGCATAAAGAAACCAAAAATCATTGTTACTCTGGAATCTTTACTCTTAATGATTCTGTAATGTTTTTCCTAAAGTGGTTAAGCAAACTCTCATTTAAGAGAATTCATTCAAATTTGCTAAATGAATCGTGATAATTTTTTTAAAAGACAGAGTTTCACTTTCACCCTCAATGGAATGCTGTACCATCAGAGCTCAACAGCAATCTCAAACTCTTGGGCTCCAGCAATCCTCTTGCCTCAGCCTCCCAAATAGCTGGGATTACAGGCACCTGCCACAACTATTAAAATGGGGTAGGAAAAGAATAAGACAATCAGTGTTGATAAAGCAACATGTTTAATGATACTTTGCTCTTCACAGGGATTACTGAGACTTTTTAATCTACAATCCAGGAATATACAGTCATGCAGCACAGACCAATTAGCTAATCTGAAATAAATGACTTCTTACCCCAACTCCCCTGTTAACACTGCAAGCCCTTTCTACAAAATGACCCTAATCTCACATGAAAACAATTAGTGTGGGGGAAATCAGAAACCCAGCTTTGTAGCCAAAAGTAAAAAACAAAGGAAAAAAAGCAATTCGGCGGTTAGTTGGTGAAAGCAGGGCACTCAGTGTCCTTCACTGTGCTGCTTTGCTCTTCTTACTCTTGCTCTTTTTGTCCCGCTTCTTCAGCCCATCCATGTTAGCTCTCAACAGGTTTGAATAAGCCTGAAAGACAAAGAACATGACTTTAGCTGGAAGAGGTACAAACTGGTGGAGCAGCTGCCCTATTTCCGTAATGGTATAGGGTAGCCAAAATCAAAACACCTACCTGATAAAGAACATAACGTGGGACACTTGTACTGGAAAATGGTATAAGCATAAAACTCTAACTTGTCCACAGAAGAACTGCACATTTTTTACCTTTTTTTTTTAAAAAGGAAAAATTGTCTGCAACTTCTTGTTCACCTACACTATGGGTAGAATACATCTGAAGCCTAAGACAATAAAATGAAGCTTGAAATATTAGAAAGGTAGCCAGGCATTGTGGCAGATGCCTATAGTCCCAGCCACATGGTAGGCTGAGGCAAGAGAATCGCTTAAGCCCAAGAGTTTGAGGTTACTGTGAGCTGTGACGCCACATCACTCTACCCAGGGTGACAGCTTGAGACTGTCTCAAAAAAAAATTAGAAAAGAAAACAACACTGGTGTTGAAATTCACAGCTGGGCAGCTTTTAGTTGAAAAATACTGGTGAAACTTATCACAGGAGAACAGAGGTAACATCAATCTTACCCTACATTCACTATTACGCTGACTCTTGCCTTGAGAAGGAAAACATAGGGAACACAAGAAACTTACCATCTGAAACTTATTCACTTCTTTGGAGCTCACCTGAAAAGGAAAAGAAAAGAGATCAGACTTATTATCCATATAGGTATACTCTGTTCTACCCCCAAATAGTTTCTCAAAAGCCTCATAAAGACAATATCCTAATCTTTAAAATACTTCTTCCTAATTTTTAAAATAACTTCAGTGGTTATAATGTACTGACAGCTATTTTCCATTCTACTTTCCTCTGCTTAAGGAATAAGCAAAGTAGCTCTACATCTTTTTCCACATGAGAATTGCACCAAGATGTAGAAGGCCATGGGCTCCCGAAGAAGCTGTTTCTCACCTCTTAAAAGCCCTTATTCGAACAGCATAGCATTTTCTCCAAGGTTCTGAGAGATGTCTCAGTATTAATTTTTGTGCAAAATACATTTAAGCTACTCCTTCCACATCTTAATTTTTTAACCTGCCTTCTATTAATTCAGGCCAATTTAAGCACAATACAAGCTGCCACAAAAGAAACCCTACCTCTGAAGATCCCTTAGGTGTTCATATGTCAAGGTATCCAACTTAATTTTAAAAAACACATAAGCTTGCTTTACTGTTAAAGTCTTCTCAAGATAACTTATAAAGGGAGATTTACCAGCTAATTATAGTCTACATTCTCATGAATATCCTAGACTAATGTGATTAGAGGACAGTCTAGTTCTGTCATAAATGAATAAAGAAGTATTCACTCAGAATCCAGGGAGTCTCTTGCTTTGCCATATATACCCCTCCACCCAAAGGAAAGACTAGGGCTCTTGACTAAATATATATTTTCTCAAATACAAAGCCTAACATATAGCCACAGGAATGCTATGTGAACCACAAAGATAAGGGAATAACAGCTTAAATGTAAAAGCATCACCTGGTACCAAAAAACTTTATTGAAGGCTCAGCACAGTAAGGGGATAAGGAATCACACGCTTACGCCAGCTGCTCCTTACAGTACTGAGTGTGGACCAATAAGCTTATTCTATTTCCACAAAACTTTTAGCAATAAAACTAATAAACGGGCTCGGCGTCTGTGGCTCAAGTGGCTAAGGCACCAGCCACATACACCTAAGGTGGCAGGTTTGAATCCAACCCGGACCTGCCAAAACAACAATGATGGCTGCAACCAAAAAATAGCCTGGCATTGTGGCGGGCGCTTGTGGTCCCAGCTACTTGGGAGGC